TTCTGCGTCGATCAAAAACACAAATTGAAAAAATTTTTTTTTTTTTTTTTTTTTTTTTTTTTTTTTTTTTTCATTAATTTGTACATGTAATTATCTCTTTGGTTTGACTTAGGATTTTTATATATTAAAGATGTTCTATACTTTATCCGAAGACTGTGTAAGGACGAAGTGAGCAATAAAAACTACGAGCAAAAATTCTAAATGTTTCATGAAAAAAAAATCAAAAAAAAAAACAAGAGAAATATGTTCCTTTGAAACGGACAATCTTTGAGTTATGTTTTAGGTGAAACGCGAACACACACGTACTCTGCTACATCCTGGTTTTCATAAATGACCACGTCGTCGTTGCAGGTTTCCATCTTCATGGGAATTGGCGCACGGAAGAGAGATTTCTGCGCGTTCTTTATGGTCGAGCGTCTCTTCAACACCGTCTGCTGATTGTTGATTTTTTCTATTATTAATTAGCTAACCATAGCTGTGTGCGTTCCGATGTTCACCGCCAGTACTGGAAATCTACATCGCGTGTGATGTGAGGTGGTGTAGATTTTTAGTTTGTGCTCAGACAAAGTGAGTATCGGAACGCAGCCTGTATCTTTGACTCTAACATTTTTTTGTCTGCTTTGTTTTACTCACCATCTCCGTGTCGCTGTTTTCTGATAGAGCTGAGGTCGGTGTCAGTTCAATCCAGCCCATATTCACCTTTGTGCACAATACGTCGCTCACTTGATTGCTTCCTGTCGATTTACAAACAAAGATTTGCTCTTGTTCTTTTTTGCGGAATGTCTCAAACGCGCTTTTGAGACGTGGAAACAGTTTGAGTTTGTTCACAGTTGCTTACGCATCACGCATTCGTCGTACTGGCCGAGGGGATCTATTCCCAAAAAGATAGACAACGTATTGGGATGACGCAAGTCCATAAATAGCAGCACAATCGCCAGAATAACGCAAAACAGACCTGAAAAAAATATATATATATTCGACACGAGGTCAGAATTTTGTACGAGAGATAAATAAAGAAAAAAAAAAAAAGAAAATGCGATCGAGATGAATAAATGATTCACCGCATCCGAAAGTCATCCAAAAATGCGTGCCCAGAGCCATTGTGATGACGGAATCACTCTCAAACGGGATGACGAGCGGAGTTGGATTATGTATGAGGACCCAAACAACGCAGGTCAACCACTGCAAGCCGCCGATCAAGCCGGTCAAATAGGCGACGTATCGGGGAACAGATTGCAGAAATATGTTAGCTAGTATCCAACAAGCAAAGGCGGTCCTGAAACAGGGACGATGCAGGATTTTCACGATAGAAGAAAAGACTTTGCGACGAAACATTAGCTTTGTTTTGAGGTAGAAAAATTCGGTTATTATGAAACATGTGTACTGTTTTTCGTGCGTGTAATGAAACAAAAAAAAAGAATTCACTTTATATTGTTTGTATAGTTCTGTCTTTTTTTGTGTCTTTCATACTGACCACAACAAGATGTGACAATACCAGCCGGCGGTTCGATAAAATCGCCCAAACCGAATGCCTTCTCCGTCAATAACGAAATATTCGGCGATCCACAAAATGGGAATGGGCAGACCTTTCTTCTGACCATCGCGAAAGGTTCTTTGTAAAAGTCCGGCTATTGTAAGAATCTCGTTTATAATTTCAACATAACAAAGAGTCACATTTTGCAGCGAGTATATCATACATTACCATCGGGCCCGAAACCGGCTCTACCCTGGTCCCATGTCCAAGGAAATCTTTCGTTGTAATTGATCGTTTCTCTCGCGAGTGGCGTATCTTCTTTCGCTTCACCTGTAAGGGAAATATCCAATTAACAGGATGTTGTCCGCTGCAGGAAGAAATCAGCGAATAAAGCTGATGAACTAGGTATTTATGTTTCGTGAAATTTTACAAACATGCAAAAAGAATTGGTTTTTACAACAATTTTCAAATTTTTTACATTTAGTTTTTTGCATTTCTTTGAATTACCCTTTAATGTGATGTTCACCGATCTCAGCCCTATCTTGACCGCCATTTGAGCCTCGATTTCTTGACCCACTCCGACCCGATAGGGCGTTTTGCATTTCGTGTCACCATATTCCCATTCCTGACCGAAGTTTTCGACTGCGTGTTTTTTTTTTTAACATTACAACATAACAAATAAATAAATTATTATCAATACAGAACGAACACAGAGTAAAATATTAGACACGCGTTAGCAAAAAGACTCACCTATCAACAAACATCCAATTGCGATGCTGAAGATAACTTTTATAGTTACGTAGACACTCTGCGCCAGATAACGAGATGGTGAAAGTGATATCGTTTATGTATACATCCATGTAACTTTTGCTGTACTTACCTCTTTCTTCCGGTAGCTTGGTATAATGCTGAGATAAGCGAGGAAGATAATTGCGAAAATTGCGACCAGTATAATCACGGTCGTGTCTATCGTTACCGAGCTTGGATGCGTAGAATATTGCGAGGGAAACTCTTCGGATCGTCCGAACTGAAACATGGCCATCGGTTTTATTGTCGAGAATAATTTCATACTATTTTATATTTAGGAAGACAATCGCGCGCAAGTTGCCGATTGTATGTATAACACTATTTTGAACGTTATGCAGTTTAGATCTAAATATAACTAATGAGAAAGACTCGTCATTGTGGTTTTATCTGAATTTCTCTCTTCCGGATTATTCCAGACACAGTGCCGGATGCTCCGTGTTACAATTTTTCTTATCGTTTTAGGCTTCCGCATAGTCGCCTAAGTTAGTTGGCAACAATCGTGAAGAGCGAGGCTTCTAAAAATCGAATCATACAAATGTTGTTGCGAAGTAAGTAATAAAATAATATAAATATATTGTGATGTCATTACGCAAATTTATAAAATCAATTCTTAGAATTTGAATAAATTATTTTCAGCGCTCGTAAATAAATAAATTTCATATTTATGTGTACTGCAACATGTGTGTACAATAGTATTAAAAATATCTTACGCACTTGTGTGTGTGTGTGCGTGTGTGTACACGCCAAGTTCATAAAAAACATTTCAATAAATAAATTTTATTTTTTTTTCTGTGCACCAGTTTCTTCCACGATTGAGATAAGACCATGAGTGAGGGAAAAACTTTGCCCCTCCTCTCGCGGAATCATTTATCATCGGTCAGTGTACATATATCGTTTGACGATCGCAACAATCGGCAATCGCAAGCCGAATCTACAATGAACCAACCGCACCATCGTTTTTGTGAATTGACCAATACAAGTGGTCCGTTGTAGACCGGCTCACAATTTATCGAATCTCCGAGGAGGAAGCTGAAACAGGCGGCGTTCGCGGGATTCACCGTTTTTTATCGTTGCTATCAGGAGTCACGTTACGAAAACCTTCGCATTTTCTTTCACAGTCTTTTACCGTCACTTCGGGTCAATTTTATTGTTATTTGCGTTGTTATTTTCTGCTTCGACCGTTACTTGGTATGTGACTCACTTGGTTGGTACACGTAGAAAAAAGATTATTTTATACATATGGCTTTTTTATTACAATTTATAATTAATTTATGCGCGCTAGTGTGTGTATATATAGAAAATTTGTAAATTCTCAAATATTGGGTTACATTGCGCAATCCAATTTGTGAATGTTATTGCACGTAATAAGCAATTTTATCTTAATGTGATAGTAAACCAATTTTATAAATATAATTTAAGTTAGAGAGAGAGAGAGAGAGAAAATAACAAAAAATCAAATATCTTATATAATTAAAAATAAAACTAATTAAGAAGTCATACCCTCCCCCCCAACATTTTATGTTCGAGTCTTCACAGATTTTAATCCATTTATGATTTCATATTAATTTATCTGGATAGTTTTTTTATGTGTGTTTGAAGAGATACATTGAGATGTTTTATATTAATAGTTAATGAAAATAAATACAGGTAATACACAATGACGAAGTTACCACGTATAACCAGAGCTTTGCGGATGTTTACTTCGTTGGAACGTAACAGAGAAACATTAGAACAAGAACCAAATGACTTATTAAGAAAGAGACAAGAGCGAGAACAAAAATTAAAGAGGTAAGTTGATATCTTGCGATTAAAAAGAATGTAGAAGGAGATGGTCAATATGTTTTATAGATATTTTAAGACTTATCGTAATTGGGAGAATCATAAATATGTATAAAACATATATGCAACAATAGATTATTGAAATTCTAATCATTTACGCATGTTATACACAGCTCATTTGATTGGAATGACATATGTAAAAGCGCATCTAAGAATCTTAAAACATATCTATTAATAATGAGAGAAATTGTGAGAGAAGTGTCAGGTAAGTAGAATGTAACGTAGAGATATTTGATGATATACTATGTACAATTTTTATAATTGAATTTTTTCTTTTAGGGGATGCTCCGTCAGATGTTGTAACTGAATTTATAGTTTATGCATTACGTTTATTGATTGAAGAAGAAGAGATGACATGGGAACTTTCAGAGATACTTGCCGAAAAATTAGAACTCATGACGTTTTCATCCGCACAGGAAATTATGAAGGTACATTGTAATGTACTTTTTGTATGTTGTTATATTGTTTAACTATCTGCCTTGTGTTAACATACAGGTAGTTCAAGACATTCAACGATTCTGTGGCGAAGAAGCTAGAAAATTATTATTATCACTAGATGGCAAGGAAAACATGGACACTAATGTTTCTAATTCGTCGATGTTCGGGACGACTATTCCCTACAATGAAGCAAGAGTTGTCTGGCCCGATACCAACGGTCTTCACAAAATGTCTGAGGAAAAGATAAATTCGAACACCGACAGATTTACGATGATTCATGAAACAAAGCCTCCGCAAAATGCACAGAAATCCGTAGTGAGTATCCATTAGACACGCGCAGACACACATAATCAAAATTAATCTTAATTTTCCTCTTCCTGTTCTCTCAATTATAGTTTGATAAAACAACATTTATTGATGGATTAAAAGATTGTTGTAAAAAATGTAATACAGAAAAGTCATATCAGGATTTTGGAATGGAAATAGTGAATAAGTTGAAAAAGAATTCTCAGAATATACAGAATGAACTATTTGATATGTTAGGTTTCGAACATGTGGACTTTATTCAGTACATTCTTGAACACCGGAAAACCATCGTATCAACAATGAACTGCTCAAAAGTAAACAAGAGGTCCGCACAAACAACTGCGCAACAAGGCCCTATTATCAGCGGTCAAGTAACTGTACAGTCCGAAGAAGAAAAACAGTTGTGCAAGCAAGTGCGTAAAGAGGAAAAAAAATTGAACAAACTGACCAACAAGCGAGACGGCAAATCGACGGAAACTGAGGATAATGAATTTGATCGAATTCATCTGCAACGTAAGAAAAACGAGGCGATCATAGCTATGCACACACCGTTATTTCCTAAAAAATCTAATCTGGACAGTACCGAACATTTTCCGTTTGTGTTTGATTCCAAAGCGAATGCTAAACAAAGCAGTTACGTGTCGGGAAAGAAAGTAATGTTGGCCGAGGATGTTAAGAGACAGGATTGCGATTACTATGAAAAAGTTCACATACCAATACCGGAAAAAAAAGATATTGACATTGAGGTCGATCCCGTGTTGATATCCTCTCTGGACGAGATTGGTCAGATGGCATTTAGTGGCATGAAGTCGTTAAACAGAATTCAAAGTATAGTTTTCAACGTGGCGTACAACACCAACGAGAATCTGTTGATTTGCGCTCCGACCGGAGCTGGTAAAACGAACGTGGCGATGCTGACCGTAGTGCATCAGTTGAAACAGAACATTCAGGACGGACTGTTGCAGAAAGATCAGTTCAAAATAATATACATCGCGCCCATGAAAGCCCTGGCGGCTGAAATGACAGCGAATTTTAACAAGAAACTCAGCTCTCTGGGGGTGTGCGTTCGCGAATTGACCGGGGATATGCAACTTACGAAACAAGAGATTCAACAGACGCAGATGATAGTGACCACGCCGGAAAAGTGGGACGTTGTCACGAGAAAGGGCACCGGCGATATTTCTCTCACCAGCATCGTGAGATTGCTCATCATCGACGAGGTGCACTTATTGCACGGTGACAGAGGACCGGTGGTGGAAGCGCTGGTGGCGAGGACTCTGCGTCAAGTGGAGTCGTCGCAGAGCATGATCAGAATAGTCGGTTTATCAGCCACATTGCCGAATTACGTGGACGTTGCGCGATTTCTGCGCGTCAATCCCTCGAAGGGACTGTTTTACTTCGATCATCGCTTCCGTCCGGTGCCTCTCAGTCAGACCTTCATCGGCGTCAAGGCCGTCAAACCGATTCAACAGATGAACGACATGGATCGCGTGTGTTACGAAAATGTCGTGGAAATGGTGCGACAGAATCACCAAGTGATGATATTCGTACACGCGCGAAACGCCACCCTGAGGATGGCGAACATTCTGAGAGAGCTGGCGACGAAGAACGACACGCTCAAATATTTTTTGTCTGACAACCAGACGAAGTACGTGAACAAAGCCTTCGTCAAGTCGCGCAACAAGCATCTCGGCGAGTTGTTTAATTGCGGAATATCGATACATCATGCTGGCTTGCTGCGTTCGGACAGAAATCTCGTTGAGAAATATTTCTCGGAGGGGTTGATCAAGGTGTTAGTGTGTACTTCTACTTTGGCCTGGGGCGTGAATCTACCCGCGCACGCAGTTATCATACGAGGGACGGAGATCTACGATTCGAATCACGGTTCGTTCGTCGATCTGGGCATATTAGACGTGTTACAGATATTCGGTCGTGCCGGCAGACCGCAGTTCGATAAATCGGGCCACGCGGTCATCATCACGTCGCACGACAAGTTGTCGCACTACTTGTCACTGCTGACGAATCAAATACCGATCGAAAGTAGTTTCATCACGTATCTGGCGGATAATTTGAACGCCGAGATAGTATTGGGTACAATATCAAATGTGGCGGAAGCAATCGAATGGCTGAGCTACACTTATCTGTTTGTGCGAATGAAGAAGAATTTTCACGCTTACGGTTTGATTTATCAAACCCTCGTGGAAGATCCCAATCTCGAGAAGACACGAAAGGACCTCATAGACAACGCCGCCAAGGCGCTGGACAAGGCGCGAATGATCAGATACATGCCTACCGGCGATCTCAGCGCAACCGATCTAGGCCGTATCGCGAGTCACTATTATCTCAAGTACGACACAGTCGAAATCTTCAACGAGCTGATACAATCCGTTATGACTGAGGCGCAGATTATGACGGTGATATCCCGTGCTCAGGAATTCCAGCAGCTTAAGGTGCGGGACGACGAGATGAATGAGCTGGACAATTTGCTGAGAGAGTGTGAATTAACACCGGAAGGCGGCGCGGAGAATGTCCACGGCAAGGTCAATATATTGATGCAGACGTATCTCTCCAGAATTCGGGTGAACACGGCATCGTTGATATCCGATCAGGCATACGTCACGCAGAACGCCATGCGGATAACCAGGGCGTTGTTCGAAATAATGCTCAGACAGAACAACGCGATAATGGCCGGACGACTGCTACGGATGGCGAAGATGTTCGAAGCGCAGCAGTGGGAATTTTTTACGCCGCTTCGTCAGTTCGACTGTCTGTCTGCGGAAGTTATCAATAAGATCGAGCAACGAGAACTAGAGATCTATAGGTTGCAAGATATGGACGTGAAGGAAATTGGCAGCATTCTGAGAGATCAGAGGGCTGCGACATTGGTGAAAAAGTGTTGCAACGAACTGCCCGTGCTGGACGTGGAATACACTTTACAGCCCATAACGCGTACCGTTTTGAGAATACGACTCAAAATGATCCCGCAATTTCAGTGGAACGACAAAATTCACGGGAAGAACTCGCAGGCCTTCTGGATTTGGATTGAGGATCCGGATTCGAACTTCATTTATCATCACGAATATTTTATATTAACGAGAAAGATGATTTATCAGAATCTCGAGCAAGAACTTGTCATTACTATACCGTTGACGGAACCGATGCCAGCTCAGTATTTGGTCCGAGTTACGAGCGATCACTGGATGGGCAGCGAGACCGAATATCCGTTGAGTTTTCGCGATCTTATCCTGCCGGAGACTCATCCGCCGCATACGGATCTGCTGGAATTGCAACCGTTACCGGTTACCGCTCTGAAGAATTTGGCATTTGAGAGTCTGTACAATTTCACTCACTTCAATCCAATACAGACGCAGATCTTTCATTGCCTGTATTACACGGACAGTAACGTTCTTCTCGGTGCGCCAACCGGATCAGGAAAAACAATCGCAGCCGAAATCGCCATGTTCCGTGTCTTCGCGAATTATCCCGATCAAAAGGTCGTTTACATAGCGCCCCTGAAAGCACTGGTCAGAGAACGCGTAAACGATTGGAAGGTGCGACTCGAGGAACGTCTGGGCAAGAAGGTGGTGGAATTAACCGGGGATGTATCGCCCGATATAAAGATGATCGCGGAAGCGAGAGTGATCGTTACGACGCCCGAAAAGTGGGACGGTATCAGTCGAAGCTGGCAAACGCGAAGATACGTAAAGAACGTGGCGCTCATAGTGATCGACGAGATTCATCTGCTGGGCGAGGATCGAGGACCAGTTCTCGAAGTTATTATCTCCCGAACCAATTTCATATCGTCAAATACGCAGAAAAAGGTCAGAATTGTAGGACTCTCAACCGCACTAGCCAACGCGATAGATCTAGCCAATTGGCTTGACATCAAAGAGATGGGTCTTTACAATTTCCGCCCGTCTGTGAGACCTGTACCGTTGGAGGTTCACATAAGCGGATTTCCCGGCAAACATTATTGTCCCCGAATGGCGACGATGAACAGACCAACTTTCCAGGCGATTAGACAACACGCGCCTACCAGTCCCTCCCTCGTGTTCGTATCCTCCCGCAGACAAACGCGTTTGACCGCTTTGGATTTAATTGCGTATCTCGCTGCGGAGGACAATCCCAAGCAGTGGTTGCACATGCCGGAAGAAGAAATGATGAACATTCTTGAGAATATAAAAGACACGAATCTGAAGCTCACGCTCGCTTTCGGAATTGGTCTTCATCATGCTGGTCTGCAGGACAGAGACAGGAGAACGGTGGAGGAATTGTTTGTCAATAACAAGATACAGGTACGCGTTCTTTTTCGCAACTTCGTGTGTGTGCAATATTTATAAAAATGTCAGTACAAAATTCATCTTATTATTTACATTCTTAAAAGAAAAAAAATAAAAACGTGATTAAATCATTTAGGTACTGATCACTACGGCCACATTAGCGTGGGGTGTTAATTTCCCCGCTCACTTGGTAGTGATAAAAGGCACGGAGTATTACGACGGCAAGTTGAAGCGTTACGTGGACATGCCAATAACCGACGTTCTCCAAATGATGGGTCGCGCTGGCAGACCGCAGTTCGATGATTCCGGTGTGGCTGTTGTCCTCGTGCACGACTTGAAGAAGAATTTCTACAAGAAATTCTTGTACGAACCGTTCCCGGTGGAATCGAGTCTGATGGCAGTGTTGCCCGATCACATCAACGCCGAGATTGTCGCCGGCACTATCAAGAACAAACAAGAATTCCTCGATTATTTAACGTGGACGTATTACTTCCGAAGATTAATGAAGAACCCGAAGTATTACGATCTGGATGTGTTGGAGCCTCAGTTCGTCAACGAGTATCTCTCGGAATTGATAGAAACCACTCTGAAATCATTAGTGGAGTCGCATTGCGTTGATTACGACGAGGTATGAGTATACATTCGATTGTTATGTAATAACATAATAGTTCGCACAATAACACTGCATTGATCCCGCATTGAATTAGAACGAGCAAATGTTGCTATCACTGCCGATGGGAAAGATAGCGTCGTTCTACTATTTGTCGCACAAAACGATGCTGATGTTCACACAGTCGTTGAAAGAGGACATGACGCTGGACCAGTGTTTACATATACTTTGCAATTCGCACGAGTACAATGAATTACCTGTGAGACACAACGAGGAATTGTTAAATGAGTGAGTTAACAGAATCAGTTCCTAACATCTCGTGTCTTCCTTGCTCTCAAAGTGTACTACTTAAATAAATTATGTGTTTAACAGAGAATTAGCGAAAATGTGCCGTTTTTCCGTGGATCAGTACACTTACGATTCTCCGCACACGAAAACATTTCTATTGCTACAAGCGCATTTCTCGAGACTGCCTTTGCCGTGCACCGATTACACCACTGATCTGAAGTCCGTGCTCGATCAAGCAATCAGAATTTTGCAGGTACAACTTGCAGTGAAATTCGTAACTTGTGCGTGCAATTGTATTTGCACGAACATATATACATAGAATTATTGTTTTACGAATTGTATAATTTTTTTTAAACTTGGCAATTGACGAGGATGATATTTTCAGGCAATGATTGATACGGTCGCCGAACGTGGATGGTTAACGAGCACGATTAGAATAATGCAACTGTTTCAAATGATCATCCAGGCACGGTGGATAGACGAATCCGCTATCATGACGCTACCGCACGTAAGGAAAGAAGACTTGCATCTGTTCTCGTCATTGTCGTTGGCTCTGCCGAAGTTATGTTCCATCACGTGTGACGATTATAAGAGACTCGCAAAGACGTTGTGCAGAGAGTACGAGGAAAACCAAATGCGCGAAGTAATGAAATTGATTGGAAACTAAATATTTAATATGCTAGTTTTTATCATGTGTATATTAGAAGATAAATTTTTTAATTAATTATCTAAACTTATGGTGTGTCAAACGCGTTTGTTTTTAGATACATCAAGTTATTCGGGATATGCCGGTAATATCCGTCAGTTTAATGCTAGAGAGTTGCGACGACGACGATGCCGAAAAAAGAAGAATACACACGAAGCGTAACAAGGACAATTTACTGAACGTTCGACAGAACGAGGACTATACGTTAACCGTCGGATTGAAAAGAATAAACCATTCTAAAACTCTGAAAGCGCATTGTCCAATGTTCTTGAAGGGAAAAGACGAAAGCTGGTTTTTGATATTGGGCGATATTCAGAGTAAAGAATTGTTGGCTCTTAAAAGAGTGTCCGGTGTAAACAGTCAGCAGAGACAACATCAGTTGCAATTTACCGCACCGAATACCTTGGGTAAACCTTACCGACTTGTTCGCAATTTATAATTATTTTTCTTGATTTTTTCGAGTTTCTAACGAATAAAAATCTGAAAATTTTGTTTCCAGGACCAATGAGGTTAACGTTCTACTTGATTTCCGATTGTTACATGGGACTGGATCAACAATACGACATTTATCTAAATGTGGTGAGCAATACCGATCGTACATTTGAGATTGAACAGTAAAAGTATTTATAGAAGGTCGGTATGTATTTATAATCCGATGTTATAATCAAGATCGTCTAGAGTTCATCTTATGATGATGATATACCGGCGGTCTTGCAGGCCGCACACCGTCCGAAGATGAACTTGAGACGATCTTAGGTACAAGTATTGGACTACCGATCTATACAAACAAATTATTTGACGAACTTTTTCATAGTAATAATATAGAGTACGACGTAAAAAAAAGAGAGGACTCTTGAAAACTTTGTTAATAGTTATTTACATTTTAAACAGACAAAAAAAGTGAGAGTTGCCATAGGAATATTAAAATTGCGGAATATATAATTTATGTCACACACAAACATACAGAGGTTGTATATATACAAAAACTTTATTGTATATTTCTTTTTTCATGTACTTTTTTTCTTATTATACATTTATAAAGTAACATGTAGATATGAGGAGGAGGAAAGAGGATTATACTTTTTTCTCATACAAATATAAACCTTGTTGTGTCAGTATACAAAGGTAGAAAAAACAACACGTGTGTAAGATCAATCGCACAATTGTAGAAGATTTGTTGGTTTGTTTTTCTTTTTTGTTTTGTACAAACGTGTTAGGGTTCTTACTACGAAAAATTAAATTTAAATTAATTGCTGCATGCTGCGTATTTGCGTCTTAGCAAGGACAGTTATGTGTTGTCTGTGTATCGCAGGCCATTTTATAAATCTCGAGAAAGAATATAAATTGTTTGACTTGAAAAGTTTGTAACACACACATTTGAAAAAAAAAAAACGGAAAAAATAAATTTATACAAATTTATAGACTCTTTTTATGTATGCAATTGTTTCTTTTTTTTTTTTTTTTATATGTACTGACTCCATTTTATCAGACTTACACGTATCCCGTACTATGTTAATTAATAATAACATTCAGATTAATATTTGTCTTAATCTCCTATGTTTAGATAACAATAGATTATAGAATAGGAAGGATATGAGATCATTCCATTGCTTTGTATGAAAAAGAAAGAAAGAACGAACATATATATGTGTATATATTTTAAGTCTTACCTCGTATTGATATTTGTTATCGATTACAAATGTAAATCAATGCAGATTGTTCTCACTAAAGGCACAGAAGAGACTTAAACAAGAGCTCGTGCGTACTTATCAGAGCGCGTACGATTCAACTAAGAGATTATAATAAAGTAGTTAAAACTAACACGTGCAAGTCTCAAATATAAAAAGCCCCCATAAAAACTTGAGTTGATTAAGACAAATATAACAGTGATCTAGAGTCTCGTATTACTAAACACAATAACTTCTTTTAAATTAACATTTGTATACTCCTCTCCACCAGCTAGAAAATTATATTTAAATTTCAATATCAAGCTAATTCGTATATCACAACTTCTCTAAACAAACTTTAAGCACCATAAAATTCCGCGTGTCAACGTAACATACATCCTAAAGATCGATTAAATTATTATACAATTTTTTTTACAGAGAAAAGTAACAAATTTTCTCTTCTTTGCCAGTAGCTTGAAATCTCTGCCTTCTAAGAAGTACACATAAAATACCGTTACTAACGCTTACTAGAGTTGTACCGATAACCAAAGCAAAGAAATATTTAAGCTCCTTCCCATATTGAAATCTGGAAGTACTGAATATATCTTGTAAGTAATAAACCGAAATGTGCATTTTATACAAATAGAAAAAAAAAAACGTTTCGATAATAGTACACCCATCTGTTGTAGCACGTGTTACGCACCGAACAACAATTGTCCCAACACCCATATTGTGGTAGTAAATTCACATAATGCAAAAAAAAAAACAAAAACGGTAGAAGCTACAAGTTAAATTGTTCAGTGTTTTCGATATCTTCTTCTCGCATTATAAAAATGTCGGAATTCTTGCTTAATTTCATTCAATAATTTATAGAACGTCGCTGTTACGCTGTTGCAAAACAACGAAACATGGTTCCACACTTTAAGAAAATGTTTATATTTTAGAGTCAGTAAACCGTGATTCAATACGTGTGTGTTTATCACTCAAGAACCAAGGAAGCACTAGCGTAACTGACAGAACTGTCGTTCATGTTGTTACATTGACTACTTTGAGCATACTTCAAGAACTTCAGATTCATCCTCTGACCATTTGTGTTTCCTCTCAGACTGTGAATCGCCTGCAAAAATAGAATGAGACTATTATTAGGCCTCACTCTCCTCCTTCCTCCTCTCTTTCTCTACCCGCTTTCGCTGGAATTAACTGACTTAACATACGATTATAATTATCGGATGTATTTGTTTTGTTTTATTACCTGTAATAAGACACCAATCGGATGCCGACCGCATATGGTATTGCTATATTTTTTAAGATATTCGGTGAACATCGCGGGATTCAAAGTCTCGATAATATCCATGCCCTGAAAAAAATGCGCAACATAACAAAAACACAGAAAAATTATAAAAAAATCTAGTAAAAAATACTGTCTTTTAAAAAGTACGTCAGAAATTTTTTATGATCTAAATCAAGCCAAGATAGTTTATATATGTACCATTTTATCGAGGTTTTGAATAGATCTGTGTATAGGCCCACACGATCTATCGTAGTAAGTGTAGCGAAAACGTTGTCCCCAATGACAGAAATCCGAGGAGATGATAAACAATGTTTGCGGATCGGCCATGTAAGGCGCTAACAATCTTCCGTAAAGCGCCTCTCTTTCTGGACTCAAAGATCCCACCAAAATTGGAATAATAGTAAACGAGTCTTTAAATCTGCACGCACGAAACAAACCACGCGTTTAATTGAGGTAAAAATAAAATTTTCACTCTTACAAATGTAAAAATCACATACCACATGTACATGAAATAGTAGATTTATCCATTTTATCGGTATTTCTCGTTAATACGAAGTTTTTCAATATTTGCAATTACAATCGGTTATATAAAATCGGAGTGGAGGGGAGGGATTTAGAGTTTATTTCTAAACATACCCTTCCATGACTTTGGCGATAAATGGCAACTGCATCTCAATGCTATGTTCTTCCTCGTCTGTGTTCAGATCCATGCATTCGAAGTGGCCGGTTTCTTCGAGTTCTCTTCTTACTGTGTCGATCAAAACATTAAAGAGCAAACAATGATATCGATGACTAGACTTACACGGAACGGAAGATTCAAAAACGGCTGATACCTTGCTGATCGATATGTAGATCGTACAACGGCGTTCGGTAAATGGAAGCTGACGTTAGAGCACAACCTGGTAATCTCACATGATGAGACGGGCCTAGAATAAATATCCTACGGCTGCATAACAGCACGTTGCACGTTTCATTTGACTGAGAAATTTGAAAAATTACAAACTAAACTAATATATTACACAGTCTCTACTATATATATTACAGAATTTTATCTTCGAACAGACCGCCACAAACTTCTTTGTCTGACTAACTGCAATTAATTGAGATTTTCAGTTTCTGATAAATAAAAAAAGAAAAAAAATTATTACAAGAGAATTCTACATACGAGCAATAAAACTGCAACAAATTTATGCGATAAATTTGGACTCGTGTCTCTCGAATGCGTTTCGCATTTGCAAATATATAGTCAAAAAAAGGATGTGCGAGTAAAATGTTAAAGAGTTTCATCACATGTTCCATACTTACACAACTACAGGACTAATTTGCCTATAAGCGAAACCAGCACACGCCCCACAATAACTGTATCCTGCATGTCTGCAAAAATTTAGAAAAAGTTTTATAAAATCTTCACACGTATATGCCGTCTGCTTTGTAGACTTTTGTATTGCAAAAAAGATAATTACTGACGGGGAAATAATTGCTCTGGCAGGTCCGTGAGATAAGTCAGCCGCGCTCAACCAACCTTCTAACTGCTTGTTCAAATCTGAAGCTATCAAATAAAACAATAAAAAATCATACTATTTACACTTGTAGGCAATGAAAGGAAAAACCAAAAATGTACGGAAATTTGCAACATCTATTTTTTTTTGTGTACTTGTACATATGTTTGTGTGACATGCATGTCTCCACACAGAGATGATAATATAGTTCACATTTACAGACTTATTTTTAACTCTTTTGGATCGGCTAGAACGCGAACATTTACACGGTTTTATCTCTGATTTGTGTAATGAAAGCCGAAACGCAATCAATTGGTTTCAGACAGAGCAAAGTTTTGGCTTCTTTCATCGCACGCAAATGAGAAGAATCAAGGTTATCGGTGTAACGCTAAGGAATAAAGCGAGATAAATTTTGGAACGTTTCTTACCGATGTCCGTGTACCAACTACCAGCGTGAGAAGCTCTCCTAATTAATGCCATTTTTTGTGTCAGGCCTAACTAACGCTAATTGCCTTTTTTTTTTTTTTGACCCCGTGCGGACCTCGTATACGCTTTTCGTTCGGCGAAATCAACAGCGCTTCATCTACAGCGCGGAACACACGGGGTGAGATCTCGAGAGGGGAATCGGACGTAAAAAAAAAAATAAAAGTTAAACTTATCTTCGCTATCGCGGGGGGGGGAGGTGTGTGTGCGTGTGTGTGTGTGTGTTGAAACGCGTTCAAAACATGGTCATCACACAAAACTTCTTCCGACTATTGTCTTTCCTTGTGGATTATTCGGATTTCGACGAATTACGTATATAATGCGCGCACACACGCACCACGCGCGCACACACACACGCACACGTGCGCAGTTCGCAAAGACGAAAATTGGCGCGTCCACAATTCTCGCTGGACAAATCGCGAATCGGGCTGGAACCGCGAATCTGACACGCGGTTTTCTTTGATGCGAGCGAGTTTTCAATGTTTCACTTCATTCGCTCGAACTGGCGAACTTCAACTCGAGAGCGCGACCTAAACTAATTAACGCGGTGCAACGCGCGCGCGTTTCTGAAAAGTAACTTCTTCGATCGCTCTCGCGCGATTATTCTTCAATCGGCGCGATGCGAACGAACACATCTTGGCAAAACGCAAAGATAAAAGTCACGAGATTGGGACTCTCGTAACTTTGCGAATGTTCCGGAAACGTAACATCCTAGAAATCACCCTAGGACTCACGCATCGCTAATCAAGTTCGCAACTGTAAATGTAGCAGCGTTTTTCGGTGACGACCATGACGGCGACTAAGAGGCATTTTCCGCGACGCAAAACGGACGAGACGTACGGACGAGTTGTCGGTGAAATAGTTGATGTTGCGCGCGACACGGCATCGCGTTTGAAACACGTCGAACGATTCGGCTCGTTTGCCTGAGCGCCGACATAATAAGAAATTTTTGTTTAATATGGCGGACGGCTCGTGCCTCTAGTGTTGTTTTAAGTGTCTTGAGAAAGAACTGCGAGTGTGACAAAACCAAGCTGGGTTCTGTTTGACCGGACGGCACTGTGAACGAATGTGCGCGCGATGAGATTCTGATAAGCGTCGCTGCGTGGCCCCCCCGACGACGTAACGTGAAAACGTAACACGTGCGAGGTCTCTATCTCTCTCTCTCTCTCCGCGATTGGAACACACACGCGCGCGCGAAAAAAAACCTAGTTCGTCTCCCCCTACGGCCGGGAGAATCGGATGTGTGCGGACTACCTCCGTCCGGAGACCCGAGAGAGCCAAATACGATTGTACCACCGGACGATACCACCGTCGTAAAAAACCACACGACCCGAGAGAGAGTCGATCCATCGGACAACGCGTGTGTGTCTCTCCCCGGTTGTGCGTGATTGTTTTCTTTCTTGATTTTTTATTTTTTCTTTTTTCCCTCCCTTTTCTCTCGTTTCTCACTTTTGTTTATCGCGTGCACGATGGGACTCGTCGCGTCGTGATACGCAGCTGGTGGCGCTCTGTTCCCCAGGTAGTTTGTTAGTTGGTTAGTTAACACACATCCGCGCGGCGCGCCGCAACACTTTTTCCCTCCCCCCCGTCTCTCCCTCCCCCCGATTCCGCACGTATTTGTATTTTGACGTCTTACATGCACCGTGTTATAACCTTTTGCCCCTTTTTCCCGCTTGTCACAAACCAACGTTTCCAGCGGTGCGATATCACACCAATCTCGTCGGGGTTGCTCAATGTTTACTGGGCCACACGCGGCGGTGACTGGCTCGCTGTGTCTCCGCGGACGGACCTTAGGTGTCCTCGTCGTAGGTTTCTGAGAGAAATGCTCCGGGAATCGGCTTTATTATTGTATACGTGATTTCGTCGTGAGATACCGAGCTGATGATATATATATATATATATATATCTATGTATATATGCATATATGTGTTTGGTGCGCGTCGCGCGTGATGTTTCCGATAACAAATCCGCGTATTAAGTGACACGACTTGCTCGATTGTTTTCTCAACGACACTCGAATCAGAATTAGCGTCGTCGTATCACGATTTTTGTAAGGTTAAAAATCAGGGTTCTCTTTCCCTCTGTCTCTTTCTCTCTCTTTCTCTTATTCTCAAGTTAACAGAGTTGATATACAAAGTATCATACACACACACATACACGCACACATACAAACGATGTTAACATATGTAAAAGAAACTCATGTTTTTGTTACATATGTAAGTCACTCTTGTAAAACATTTGTTTATCCCAGGACTGTAGTTTGCTATATTTGTCAAATCGTGTATGTGTGCAAGCAAAAAGTTTATTTTAACGATGTTAAACATGCGGGAAGCTTACAGAATTATCGTGCCACTAGTATTTAACTTGTATTTATTTCTGTTCAATCTACACGGTGCATATTTCATACGCAGATCCATGATCTTTTGTTCTCTTTCTCATATGACAGAAACATATTGCCATTTTATTTATTCACATCATCTGTTTGTTTGCAGGTGCATCCTGTTCTTTGTACTGACATTTAATGCAACTGTCGGTGTGACAGTGTGATAAGAGGTAAACGATAATTTTGTATATTTTGACAACAGCGCGCACTTATTGGGAGAAAAAAGCACTAATTGCAGTTTTTCTGTTTTAGGTTAGTGAAGTGAGTTTATTGTTCTTGTCATGGATCATTGGGGATCCTGCAAAATCAGAGGATCAAGTGTGATATTAGTACAAGTGAAGTGAAGTGTGCTAATCGACTGTTTGCAGAACAAAAGTGCGTTCTAGTGTGCCTGCTTTCGGGCAAAAACATTTTTTTAATAAGTAGTGCCACTAGGCTATGGCCAACCTGAACTTTGAGCAACCGCCACGCAGTATTGCGAACTCAAGTCTTACTTCACGTACAGTCAGCGGAGGGGGGGGTTTAAACGCTTCGACCCTCACGGGTCATGTTACGCCTACCTCGGGCATGTTCTCAGGCTCATCTGCAAGCACATCGAGTACTGTCAATTCAGCGGTAGTTGCCACTAACGTTTATCCTGGAGCATCGGGCTCCGGCGGCGGACAGAACAGTCATCAGCAACAGCAGCAACTCTCTCCTATGGGCAGCAGAGGGCTGTTTGGGCAGAGAGCTTTTACCGACAGACGTACGATGCCTGCTCTTGGGTTAGTGTTTTCTTCATTTTTCTTTAACAAAATCTATTACAGATATTGTATTCGATGATCTTCAATGTGTGACCCTTGTGTATGTCGAACATCACTGTTGATGCTAAAAATATCATTTGGATAGTAATGTTGCAACCGCCGCGATTGTAGAATAATTCTACAATCTCGTTCTTTATCTCGATATTACAGAGCTTCAAATCCAATGGGTAGTATGGGCAGTTTTGGAATACCTCCAAGTCGTAATTACGGATCTCAAGGTGCGGTTAACAATTTCCACTCTGTTTTTGGGAGTGGAGGTGGTGGAGACACGAGTACTCCACCTCTGTTAGATCTCTCGGAATTTCCCTCCCTAACGAATAGAGGTCAAGGTGATTCTATGCCGCAACCTAGTCCTATGCCAGGAAAACAGCCTTATGGTTAGTATCGATTATATATCACATTTATTAATTATCGATGTATTTCTTTTTTCTTAAGTGTAAAATTATCTGCAATGGTTGTTTTACACAAGTTTATTATGCTTTTAGATTAGTTTTTTCTCTATTGTAATACAATCTCTTATTTAAAAAAATAGTACACTGTAAAATATGTTGAGCATACGCTTACGTTGCAATATTATTTTGTATTATTAGTATGATCTGTAATATGTATATTAATAATAAGTTTCTTTCAAAGTTTTATATTATTAATACACTTATACTAATTTTATTTATATTTCAGTTGGAATGGTAAAACAACCAACATCCGAATCGAGCGAATTTACTATGAGCTCGGAAGACTTTCCTGCATTACCAGGTACACAGAACCGAGAAGGTCCGTCACCTGGTGGCAGCGTATCTGGTGATAAAAATATATCTGTAGGACTTGGTCCAGAAATCGGACAGGATGTGTTGCAGGCAAACAGAGGTCCTGGCCCTGAAAAGTCTCAGTCTTCTAAAAGAGGCATCCAAACGTCGCCTGATGGTAAACAATCGACTTAACGAGCGTAAAACAGCGATAACCGTTTTTTTTTTTTTATGTTTAATCTTGTACAACATCTATTTGATATACAGGCAAAGTAACGAATATACCTGCTAGTATGGTGAAGGATCAGTTTGGCATGGTCGGACTTTTGACATTTATTAGAGCAGCGGAGACAGATCCAAACCTAGTGTCACTGGCGCTAGGCCAAGATCTTACTGCGTTAGGATTGAATTTGAATTCACCTGAAAATCTTTACCAGAATTTTGGTGGTCCCTGGGCGGAAACACCTTGTCGACCGCAGGATATCGATTTTCACGTACCACCGGAGTATCTTATAAATGCTGCAATCAGGTACCAATCCGTACTAGAGAACAGGTATCGTAATTCTATTAGCTATCATTCGAAGGGTATTCTTTCCAGCTTTCAATATCAAAAATTTTCAATTTTCAATATCAAAACTTCAATCTTTGTTTTAAAACTTACTGCCAGTACTGACGATCTGTAATTCACATTACGTTATTATACATATATGTGTATTTCTTCAGAACTGGCAATGAATTTTAAAGCATAGTACTAATAAAATCAGCTAGAATGAGTGCCTAGAAGATTAAAATTTTTTCTTTCAATATTCCACTCTTATAGTAATGATACCACGTGTAAATGTAATATCTGACCTTCCACATGTGCCCCACAAAATTTGTTAAAAGACTGATACACACCCTCTGAAGTAACATTTATAATATATATCGAGTTGGTCAGAAAATCTTTTCGTATTTTATGCAAGTAAGGCGATTTAAAAAAATACGAAAAGATTTTCTGACCAATAATTTTGGTCAACAAACTCTAACGTTTTTATTCTAATGTTCTCTAGGGATAAGCTAGCGCCAGTTAAACTAAATCGATATAAAGATGATCTACTGTTTTATATGTTTTATACAAATGTTGGAGATGTATTGCAATTAGCCGCGGCGGCGGAATTGTAAGTATAAACAAAATACGAATTAGATGTAAACATTAACGCGCGCGAAATATACTCACAAACGTGTATGTGTTTGATATGAAGGTACAGCAGAGAATGGCGATATCATATGGAGGAGAAGGTATGGATAACGCAAGCACCTGGTTTAGGGATAGTAGAAAAGACTTCGACATACGAACGTGGTACTTATTATTATTTTGATGCACAAAACTGGAGAAAGGTAGCTAAGGAATTCCATTTGGATTATACAAAACTAGAAAGTAGACCTCATCTTCCTGCGAACTTTCACCAAACTCAGCCTTGACTACAGGTGTGTACTCGTATAGTTTATTTCTCTTCCGTTTTCTTTCTTTGAATAAAAAGCAAAAAGTTACATACACATATGTCTATGTGCAAGAATTAAGAGAAGTGTACAGAAAAGGAAATACGCGCGATTCAGTGCTTTAAGTGTGAACACGTGCATCTTTTACATTACCTCTTTGTACTCTTCTATAATTATTCTGTAAAAAAAAAAGCAGAAGAGATGGCATTCAATTTTTTAATCAAAACTATTATTTGTTCTAGACTTGTCAGCAGACCATTATGCTGTCTTTAAGCTGGAAACAAATCAGCTATTGTATAAATGAACAAATTTAATAATCTTTAATAAAAACATAAAATTTGAAGAGTAATAAAGAATTTTTTTATCAATTTAAATTGAACGCATGCGTGCGCGCGTTACGCATGCACGCTCTTATTTTTCTCTGTCGGTAAGACTCGGCTGATCTTCGCAGTCACATTGGTTTACGTAAACAAAATCAAAAGCGAAAAATGTACTGTGTCTCGATATTCAATGCTAATATTGAGAATCTATAATATGCAAAATGTAAACTGTATAGATTTTTATAGATTTTATTGTGTAGATATATTACATAGATTTTCAATATTGGCAGTGAATCTTGAAACAGCTGTGTTTCTCGCTTCTGACGCTCCGTTACAGCACGGTTTCTATATTCTCACAACGTCGGGACTCGTAAACTCCCAATTCTCACGCTTCTGTATTCTTTCATTATTTGGAATCTTGCGCAAAACGATAATGTACAAAAATTTACGTCCTGATATTCGCTACAGCTGTGACAGCCGGTAGTAGAATATTTGCACGATAGGAGTAAGTGAAATATAAAAGACTCACTGTCCGTGAAAATATAGGAATATGGCGTGCTGCATAAATTAATATGACTTCGAAGAGTGCAACATAATTGTTTATTATTATAACGTCATTATTATCTTACTTTTTTCTGCAGTAATAAATATATCTTCACGATTCCTTTTTTTTTTTTTTATTTTTATAAAGTTACAGCTTACTCTTGCAAGTTCTCGATTTTTCTGCTTCGGCGGCAAGATTAATTACATCTTCCGACGCATTTATGACAAAATGTTCAATATAATTTCGACTGTTTTCTTCACACTTGTCTAAAAAGTATCTAAAAAAGAGAAAGAGAGAGAGTAAACAGTATGTAAATGTCTATGTAATATTTTTAAGCGATGTTTAAGTCTGCAAAGACAATTCTCAGAATACCTGTAATTGACCATTATGCCGCAACTATTTTCCGTTCCACGTGGAGAAGGATCGGCCATCCAATTGATTCGCCACATCACAGCTCCATTGCGCAAATGGAAATTAGCTGTCGGGCAACAGACAAATTGTTTGACAATGAGTTTTGTTGTCAGAAAGTACTACCGAAAACTTATTGACAGACACATTACTTATACAATGATTGTATAATTTTTTCAATTAGAATTTGAGATTGTAAGAAAAAAACGAAAAAAAAAACAAGACGTACCGACACTGTTTAAAGCATAACCGCGTCTCTTTTCCTTGTATAAGTACCAGGCACACGCTCGAAGTAAAGGATTCTTTAAAGATTCTGATAATTGTCTATCTTTCGTCCATAACGAAGTACCTAGAATCCTCTTTAAAGCCAGTGCTACGTCTTTCGTTTCTAATATACTTTTCATAGTTCCATATTCTTGCATGGAAAATATAAATGTGACATCTATATGCGGAGAAATTTATATACATTACATTATTATATTTATTATTTTTATATACAAGTATCTTTCTTTAGCTGTATATATATTTTTTGTTTTTGTTTTTTGAATTATTAAACACCTCACCTTGTTTCAATTTGTCCAATAACCAAGACTTGAAGTTCGGAATAGGTGATAAGCTAGACAATAATTGCACAGCTGGGAATTCAGTTGTTATCTCGCTAGCTACTTTCTTTATCAGATAATTGCCCAGTTCAATGCCCTGTACAAAAACATTTCTTTACACCAACAATGGTTTACTCACGAAAACTCGAGTAAAGCTTTGTTTTTTTTTTGTTTTTTGTTTCACACATGTACACGTAATGTACCTGCAATCCTTTTTGAGTAGATGCTATAGAATAAAATATTGCCGCTTTTATTTTCGATTTGTCTTCTTCAAGAAACGTTACGTCTTTCTTCACACTTCCCAGAATTCTAATTTCAGCTTCCTCGATACCTTTTACACTATCTGTGTGATAACGTACATCGAAAACAAAAAAAAAACAAACAAAAACAAACAAAACTATTAGCCACAAAACAAATTCTATAAAGTTGAAAGATAAAATTCTTTGTACAAAACCTGGTATGATGTCACATAATGCTGTGTGCAGTACAACAATGGGTTCTCTCGGCATAGATGGATGTGTAAATATGTAACATCTTCTGTACGGGCCGACTCTGCGTTTCAAATCCAACCAATTCTTTATAGGATGTATGGCTTCGTAGTCGGACACCTTTGCAAGTCAGAATCAACACAATAATCAGAAATGCGAGAATACAGGAATAAAAAAAAAAAATGTACAATCTTTTACGCAAAAATTTTGTTGTGCAAAATCACAACAAAGTGAAGAAGAAAGTTGTAATTACTTTTTGTAATATATCGCATGCGCTTTCCCACGTTACTCGTTCCATGTGTAAAAAACCCACTGAAAACCAGAGCAGAAACAAATCTCTCAACGTGTGATTTAACTCCTGTATTATTACACTTTCCTCGGGATCGTTTACTTCCGCCAATAGTTCCTAGCAGAAACTTGTCTCAATAAAAAGTTAAAAAAAAAAATCTCATAATATCGCCAACAAATTTATTGGTTTGCAAGTTCAATGTTTATTCCTTGAAATACAAACGTGTGTTCAATAGAGAAGACTTAGACTTTTTTTCAATTCGCTTACCAGCACGTCGGTTCTCAGATCGACTAGAAATTTAACGCCGTTCTGTAATCTTCCCACAATAACGAATAACCAATGGTAGGCGGGTGTGAGAACATTTCTCAGAGTTCTCTCGTGAACAACAATTTGCCTAACGTTTTCCGACTGCGATCAGAAATTAAACTTTACGCACAAAAATTATACAACAGAAGAAACAGAAAGTGTCAAAGCACGGCGGGTACATTTTTTGATTATCACCTCGGTACAGAGCAACTTTTTTGCTACTTGGCAGATATTGTCATGTTGCACCGCGTACCGCGAAGCTAGCGTGCGCAAGATCCGCTGACGGTTCTCCTTGTCGTTTTCGGTATACCTGGCACATAGCGCACGTGCTTTGTCCTGCAAAAGTAATTCTCGATAATAGCGATATTCCGACAGAACGCTCATAGCTTACATTGACTCGTTTGATTTTTTTAAAGGAAAATAGAAAAAAAAAAACCTCTATGATCCAGTTGCTGATCTTCGTGTTTCTGAGCTCAAAGATTTTTCGCAGATCTTCGTCCACAGGCATTGAACTCCGTACCGCATACAAAGTGGATGACATTCCGCGTTTAATGGGATTCAATTCCATCTTCATTCCGCAACGTCGGGTACTCAATTGAAGTTGTGAGAAAAACTTCCTTAACATCGTGTCATTAATTACATCAATCAAGTATAACAGGGAGAGATGGGTTCAAGAGTCTTGTGTGTTCTGTAAACAATACACACACACACGCAACACAACAGGTGTTACGTGTTAAAAGGCCTTCACACACAACTTGCCATGACACAAGCTATTGTAAGAAGTAGCCAATTGTTTTAAGACATTAAGGCTGTCATTTTCGAATATAAACAATCGTTGGTCAATTCTTACGGCGATTTGTGTGCAATTACCTTTATAGATTAACAAATCTTTGCAATGTCACTGTTTCTGCGCGCGCAGAGAGAAAAGATTATCCCCTTCTATGAGCTGTTTTGTCATGATGTTTTATTTATTCCAACTCAGCCGGTCAGCTGCACAATCAGCTGTTGTGACCGCAGCCACCGTCAGCTGTTGCGTGACAGCAGTTGTAGTACACGCGTTCTAATCTTGCACGGGATCCATTAAAGTGCAACCGATTCATGTCACCGCCACCTATTCGCTTTACATCTAGAGATGACAAAAAAAAAAAACCAAAGAATTAAAGCTTCTCATGTCTATTGTTTATTTTTATTTTCGATAAATAGAATTGCGTATAGAAGGGGATTCTCTTTCCTCTCGCGAAATTCGTTTCTTATTCCGCATATCGCAGCTTTCATTATCAACTCTAGATAACATCGCAATTATTAATAATAATAATCAACTTTGATTGCTAACGGCTGGTAATGTTGGTAGGTTCAGTGTCGCATCGTGGCTCGTGTTGATATATGTGAATCGCAAAATGGCGATCCAGTGAGGAGCTGTCAAAAATTTATTGTCAGGAAACGTAATTTATTAATTTGAGAAAGCGATCGCGAATGTGACAGGTCTCAATAACGCAAGCAGAATGCAAGCAACCTGGTTTTATTGCCATCTCATTTGGAGTGTTTGGTGTTTTCTACAAGGTGTGATGTATGATTGTGCTCGATGCTGACTACTCACCGCTTGCGGAAAAACGCACGTCTCGGTTCTGTCACGTTGCCCTGTCATTTCCTTATTACATCAATTTCTAATTTTACCGTTACTTTTGTATATAATTGTTTGATATTTGTTTTTTTTTCGCTTATATATGTAAAGATCACGTGGCATATGCCTTGTAGCATTAGTTTTTTTTTTTTTTTTAATGTTGTTTTTGTTTTTTAAATGTTGTTTTGCAGTTACTGCTGCGGATTATGTCACATTGACACATAATGGACCAGTTGTGTTGGGCGGTACAATCACCTTCTGGGCGGATTTGTATACAAAAGATAACGAACGACCAAAAGGAACCTTCAGATACACGTGGACTGATAATTCATTAATAAAACATGAATATCAGGTTAGTGTAAAGTTTTTACATGTTATTCACAATTTTACATGTGATGTAATGAAGAAGAATGTTAGGCACTTGTAATTCTTTTTAGTCAATAATTAGTTTTACTCATCTTTTGGTGAGGTGATATTTGTTATCTTAGTCTTTATGTTAATACGTAATGTTGAATGGAAATTTGCTTTACAATAGAATTACTATTATTGTTCTAGACTGAAAAAACATCAAACACAACAAGTGTTTGGAGCATTAATTATCCGCAAAAAGACTGTATTCCCGGAAAATATACTGCAGAAATAAAAGTTGAATATCTCAGCTTGGGAATTTTTTGGATGTTTGACACAAGTTCTCGCATTTCCTTTGAGATCACAGGTATAAACATCATTAATATATAATAGTAATAATATTATCATATTTCCTCCAATACTCTCTTTCCGCTATTAAAAGCTCTTTTGTTTTTTGGTTATTCTAATAATTTTTTAATTGTTATCTGTTTTACTTTTAGAATTTCTTAATGGTGAGATAATGATAATACAAGCTAACAAAACAGTAAATACTAATAAAACGGGAGACTATATTAGTTCCACAAATGAGACAAAACTGATGATAGATTTGAATGAAGCAGATTACAACTTTGTAACTCAAAACGCAACATCAATATCGACATATTGGTTTATTGATTGCAAATATTACGGGCAAACAAACGACTTCACTTTTGTTTATAATTTTACAAATCCCGGTGTGACTCACGAGATAGGAGCTCTGGTGATTGCTTCGTACAATTCAGTAACAACCACAACTACAGTCTTACCGCCTACAACTACAGTAGACCCCTTCGATGTGACAGCACCTGTGTCCAATACTACTGCAGTAAATAATATTACAATAAATCCAAACGTGACTTATATCGCAAATGAAACGAGTACAATAACAACCACAACAACCACCATGTTACCACCAATAGTTACAAGTGCAAACTCAACAACGTTTACGACAGCTGCTCCGATTACCACAAGCACAATGAATGATGTTAATGTGTCTTTGCCTTACATCTGCTCAAATGCGTCTGTCATTCCACCAGACCCTAATAAAACATATGGATATTTCTACAAGACTATTTACGTTCGTGGTTAGTAAGTAATGCAATTATAATACTCAAACAAAAGACTCAGTTTTAAGTGATAAGTGTAATTGCTTTCTAACTAATTTCAATTTTGTAATTTCTCATTTAAAAAAAAAAAAAAAACGTGTCTTCAGCTCCACTGACGAATATCTCGGTGGAAGGTACAAATTGGATCCAACCGTGGGACATGCTGTCACTTAATGTGACGTGCAAAGGATCAGGTCCATTCTTCAAATGTCTCGAATTTCATCGTGGCAAATATAACGTAACGGGAAACGAAACGTGTAACAACAATGTCTCGGAGCAATTAAAATCTTGCAACTTCTCCATCATTCATTATTTTCTCGAACCGAGTGTATACACGATATTGGTTATATTAGAAAACGAAGTTAGCAAACAGATTTATCCCTTAACAATCAATATTTATAAAGGTAAGTTTCTTCTGAGAGTAATTGCCGTGTAAAAAACGTGTCATTTTTGTCTTAACTACTTTTATACGAATTGTTATCTGCGCAGTTACAACAAAACCGCAGTTATCGGTAATCGTGGTGCCGGTCTCCTGCTCGCTTGTGGCCGTGGTGCTGATAGTGTTCGGCGTGGCGTATTATATTCAGAACAGAGCGAGATTCACGGTGGAAGTCGCGGACTTCGACTTCGGTCAGAGTAATCCAGAAATGGAGTACAAAACGTTCACAGAACGTTTGCGCGACTCGTTCAATAACACTGTAAGGCCTGGAAGTAAACGACTAAGCGTACCTTATTACGGCAGCATGAATCACTGAAAAATAGAACGAGCTCCATCGCTATCGCCATCTAATTTTTCTATTATTTAAAGTGCAGTATGAATCTATTATCCTTTCGCTATATACGTTCGTTTTGTTTTTCTACAATATTTTTTATTGCGTACAGCTTTTTATTCGCTCAATCCGGAGATAATTGATCCAATCGAATTAATCGCGGCTGCGAAACATTTCTTCAAATGAGAATATAAACTATCTCTTTTTCCCATCAAGGGAAAACTGTGTCAGTCGACCATTAACACGCGAACTTTTTTTTATTATTGCAGGGATACAAACCACTTGGCAATCCGCAGATACTTCAGTAACATACGGAGCAAGAAGCAACGTTTTGGAAAACCTAAACTAATGAAAGTTTCTCCGAAGAATGAGTAGAAACGAGGACACGCGAACTCTTCGCGAAAACATTCATCAACTCATTTTATAACGGTGGCGAACAAATTCTTTAGATTTTGTGTCTCTGTGCCAATGGTGTAAACAAGCTTCTTTCAAGGTTGACATTATGAAAGTCATAAAAAAAAAAAAAAAAGACACTGGTGAATATCATAGAGTTGTTCGAAAACCACCTTTGCGAACAACGAGTTCAGAATGTACATAAACAAAAATCTATATCTACGATGTGTATATATATATAACATATACGTACATATATATCTACAGTCGGCGGCGCAATTGTCTCAGCACATTAAATTGCACGAGTAGCATCTTTGAACATAAACGAAAGAGACGTTATTTCACGCAACTGTCTGTGTGCTGAGGCACTTACGCCGCCGACTGTACATATATAGGCTGTGAATATAGTACGCTACGGTGTGTGGTATAGTTGTTCTTCACACAAATTTATTATTTGAAATAGAAGAGAGGGAATGTAACGAAGAGAAGGAAAGGAAGAGAGAGATTTGATATTTTTTTAAAGTTGCAACGATAGCTATTAATCTATAGCAGGTTCACATTTCGTGTTGTATATGTATTTAATTTTTTTAATTTGCCTTTAATGATTTATCCAAGTTTCACACAAGATGCAACACAAGTATGCTTGTATGCTTTAAACTTTAAATACTTTGTACACATAAGAAATGTCGAAATTGCTAATATGAAGAGCTTTTTTTAAACACTTAAAGAATTCTTTTATACATGCTGTTGTATATATACATTATTAGTAAGCAATTTTCAAAACATTTTGATCTACACATGTATACATATATATTGTGCCACATTCATTTAGAATACATGCATACTAAAAGATAGAAAGAAAAAGAGGAGAAAAAGAGAGAGCTGCTTTTTTTTTTGTATAAGACGAAGGAGGCGAAACGTTATATATATATAAATTGGTTAATTCTTAAAATATAAAATTATCCAAGTATATATTGCGACATAAGAGTATTCGTGTGTCATATCTTTAATAAAAAAACAAAAATATATATTTATCAAAAAGCAGAACAAGTTACTAGTTTTTATATTTGTGTTGGTGTGTATTCGATTTTCTTTTTAATCGCACATATATAATTTATATAAGTTATATCGCATATATAATTTATAAATTTATATGCATCAAACTTGATTACTTACATTATTATCATAACTGTTTATTTTTACATGTACGTTGTACATACATACATCTATTAATCCTTAATAATAAATAGTATGTTTTATATACATACGTATATTTATAATAAATTTACAAATTATTGTTTAAAGATTGACAAATTATTGAAAGAATGTAAGAGAATTAAGCAAGAGAGAAAGAAATAGCAAGAGAATTGAGCGGGTAAGGTGAGTTGCGCGTCGTCCGAGAGCCTCGAAAATATCAGGAAAGTATCAGGAATACATGTTGTGCGAAGAGGTAACGCGAGAGGTATCAGTGGGCGAGGCTACGCGTTCCCCCATCGCCACCGCGCGCCGTGAGTCGCGCGGTGATTGGCTGAGGCGCGAGCGCCTATAATGGCCGCTTGACTCCACCCCGCGTGCTCCGTAATGGCGCGCGGGGTGGGATCAAGCGCGCTATATGTATACGAGAAGGTATACGCCCAGGAGCTGGCGCGTATACCTACTCGCAAGACATACTTCCCTGATACCTTCGCTCGATTTCAGCTCGTTTTAAGCGTTCCATAGTTTCCAACGACCAAGACTATTGCGCGTAAATCTTGTGCTCTTGTTCGCTTGATTATTTATTAGCGTGTAAAATAAAATAAAGAGAGAAAGGCAGGCAATAAATAAATAAAAAAATAAATAAAAAAATAAATAAATACATAAATAAATATAAATAACGGACGAAATATTATATGCAAGTCTTTTATTTTCAATACTTATCGATTATTGTGTCGAATTTTGTATAGATTTTTAATAATCGACGTAATGACTTATTATTATTATTATTTATTATTAAATCTAAAGGATTCAGAGAACAGTTTTCGTAACGTTGATCGCAAAGTTGCTCGTGCTCAGCTTGCGTGATGTCATTCGGAAGCTCCTCGCTTCTCGACGTGGAAGGTCTGCAATGCAAATTTAATTGTTTTACATTATTTGTTCGTTGATTGTAATTTATATCGACATCTCTCTTTATTTCTTTTTACATCAAAACTTTCAAATATACTTTTTATTACAATACTTACGTGAATATGATTTTGAGAATATCACCAAGCACACCGTTTTCGCTTAAAGCATATTTTGCAGCTTGACAAATTACTTTCATCAAACAATCTTGTTCAGGATAGTCCAGACTGTTGTAAAACACACCAATGTCATTATTTACGAGCGTATATTTTGAGCTTAACAATCACACGTGTAATTAGAAGTAAGGTTTCGAAATACATACGTGTTGGTAGAGAATATATCTGCGTGAGTGTGGTTTTAATCACAGTTTTGTTACCTTTCCAGTTTGTTACCTTTCAAGTTTGTGTGAACAAGCTGTATATCAGTTGACGACTGAGACTTCGTTTTTCGAGATAACTTTCGTCGTAATAGTAGTAAGTGGAATTTCATTAGCTTGGCAATCCGTAATTCGCCTCGAAATAAAACGACATCGATACAGATTTGTCGGGAATGTCTACGGGAATACTC